ACTGCACTTTGTTAGCATTGGTAGTGATATAACATTTCTAAGGCGGTTTCAGTATTGATGAGTTATGCCTTTAACTGGCTGCGTCGGCTTCAAACTTTATTTAGTTATTTATTTGTTATTACTGAAGTCATAAACTTAACACCTGATTGTCAGTACAAATGACAGTTCCAGAACAAAAGGAAGAAAATAATAAACTGTTTTTTTGAAAATGTTGAGTTTGTGCCTATTTTTATTGAGGAATACAATGTTGACATGTGAATAAGCCAATAATGCTAATTGATGTGAGGCAAACGGTTTAAAAGGTGCAAATCATTTGAAAAAAAAATTTAATCATATAACATTGGTGAATGCAACTGGCTATGCTTTGGTTCACCGAAACTGCTGAAGGACAACTTCGATTGTGGCGAGGCAGATGAGTGAATGAATGAATAAATGAATGAATGAATGTTTGGATGGATAAAGAGATAGATATATTTGAAAGGCTTACAAACAGTTTATCAAAAAAGCAAAAAGAGGAATTTTTTGACTTTTTTTTTTGAATCTCGAGAATGAGCGCACAGTTTTGGGGCTAACAAAAAAAAGGGCAAAGAGGATGAACTAATCAACTGATAAAATTTTCGAAGATTTCTGAATCATTTCTATTCATTTGTTTAAAGAAAAAAAACAGCAACAAAAAATTCCCCACCTATAAAAAACAGTGTTTACATTAGTATTGATTAAAAAAATTTGCAAAATGAAAAGAAAAAAGCAAAAGGAGTGATAAAAACTTCAACACATTTCTGCTTAACTTCACCAATCTTTGTCATTTCTTCTTCTCTGTCTTTTTCTTACTGTATGAAAAAAAATTTGTAATTTTTAAATAATGTATAATTTTTTGCTTTTTTATTCGTCAACTACATCCCTGGATTTTTTTGCTTTCCTACTCTCTTTTGTATTAGCCCTTTGTCGACAGATAATGTGTGTATATATCGTATATCCGTGTGTATGCTAACCCATAGAAACAAAGTTGTGGAAACATATTGCTCTGTTGTATATTGTAATCAATCATAATATTGTGCTGTTAAATTTTTCTGGCCAACAACGATGATGACAAACAGCACAATATTTCAATGCTCAAGTTTTTTTTTTTCTTTCTTTCTTTCTTATTTCAATTGATTTGATGGTAGCCAACTGGAAAAGCTGATCGGTTCGCCTAGGAATCAAAGTTTTTTTTCGTTGATCATCATCATCAGTTTAGCTTCTCCTGGTTTCTCATCGTTTCAATGGGTGATGCGATGTGACAGTGATGTTGATAGTGTTTGCTGCGACTCTATTCTTTTAGCTTTCCTTTTTCTCTGTTGTTTATTTATTTTTTCACTTTTTCTTCTCTGATTCATTTTTTTCTGGTTTTTTTATTGTCTAGCAATTTTTATTTAAGCTATATGCAGAGTTTATCACTTATTTAATTCAATTTTACTTATATATATATATATATATATATATA